AAACTAGGGTACAAGTTGGACAAATTGCAAAGGAGTCATTTCCCGTTCTCTGTCTCTAAATAGGACAGTTATATAAAAAAAATATATCTGTATCACAATTCAAGAGTCCTAAGTAGAGTTCTGTACTTCCGTCTTAATTTGGGGGAATTGCATTGGGTGAAAGATGACAGGAAGTGATATAATCTTGTATGTGGATATGAATATTATGTTGAAAGCAGCATGTTGTGGTGTACCGGTAGAATACACAAACAGGAAGCTAGAAGGGGGGAGAAGGGTGGTACTGATGGCTTTCAGATGTCTTTGTGGCCCCCACTTATCAACCTCTTGAAAAACTAGGAAGATCTAGGACATCAGTTCTATGTTGGGACACATGTGCTCAGTAGGCACACTAGGGGGAACGTGTAAGCAAAACTCAAGGAAAATAATTTCTGAGAACATGGAGAGTTGAAAGCACTTGAGATTTTGTAATTAAAACACTTGCATTAACCGGATTCACCTGCCATCTGCTTCAGTTTCAGCCATGGGCATTCAACTTAGTTGTTTACTGTTACATCTATCATAAAATTTTTTTTATTGATTTCTCAAATTTTTATATTTTAAGTCAAATTCTGACAAATACTGGAATAAATTCTAATCATGTTTGAAAAAAAAATAAACAGCCAGATTGAATAAAAATAGAAATTATGGATTTTTTTTTCCCTTTAGTACAGGCTCTGGTGCTTGAACTGATGGGGTCAATTGATTAGAATTCAAATTAGAAGGATTTCAGAGTTGACATGAAAAATTTTCTAAGCTGATCGTGTGCAGAAGTAGAGGAAGTGCCATTTCCATTGACAGATGGTGAGCAGAATATTCCCAACTGTCTGTCCATAAATTAGCAGGCAGCAGATAAAATGTCCTCCTTGTTTACTTTTACTAAGTCTTAATTCCTTGAAACATGGCTCTTGATTATATTTTTCCAGCTGTCTTGTATGAAAATAACATTAGTTTTCAACAAGCTAATTATTTTGATGTGGATGCATATAGATATACTGTTAGAATGCATTAATTTTTGCTCCTGTGGCTTTGGTGCCATATATATATTCCGCATTTTTGTTTTTAATTTTGACTCAGGAATAAGAAAATGAACAGCTATATGGAAATTTTAAAATTGATTGAAGAGAATTAGAATTGGCCAATCACATTGTAGCTGATTTGAATAGCAGGTGCTGAGATTGCCACAAAATATCATCTGTTTCATAGCATTTATAAATGTAATATGAAAGCTCTGAGTGGCTTTTTCATTTGATGAATCAAAATATTATTGTTATCAAAAATTCAGTATCTACCCTCCCTTTCAGAGGGATAGTGTAAAATTTGCATCATAGATAAGCTTCTTTAAGAACGGTGTACTAATAACCATCTGAGTTACGTAAGAGTACTTTTACCATTATGTACGATATCTCAAGAGGCCAGTCTTGCTCTTGAAAGTTGCATGCATTTCCACTCATTTCATGTTAACTTGCACAACCTCTTTAGAAAGAAGGTCACAGAATAGGTTGTTACCTTGGTGCACTTAAAGTATGCACCAGAAAAGAAATCCTCAAGATAGAAATGGAATAAAAAAGAACTCTGTGATCGAGTGCATAATTTTTGATTGGGAAGATCGTTTTTAGCTTATAAATAATTCTCTACAGGTTCTGTCTGTGTTATAGGTGTGAAATGAGTGGAAACATTTGTTGTTTAGGCTAAGGTAGAAGATATTGTGTTTTTCTCAAAGCAAATTGTTAGGAAAACATTTTGAAAGCAATATCGAATAGCATTTGCTAAACTGCAGACCTGCTGATTTTTGCATTTCTTACTGATCATGGTTTTCCAAGTTGAAGAAAAGTTCAATGGATTTTATTGAAACTTGGTTAAATAGTGACAGAAATTTAGGTAATGAAAATTTTAGTATAGTCGCAGTGGTGATAAGATGTGGTGGCCTGTTTTATTACAAGCCTGTCTCCCAACTGTCTGATAGTGATTTGGTGGGGGCTAGTTTTTAGCACAGTTTGTTTACCTTTGACATCTGTTTATGTTTCTATACTAATGTGGGGGTTCATAAAGGGATAGAACTTGTTTCAGGTCTGGTAACAAAAAGAAGTTGTTGCACTTTGGATTGAGCATGCACTGTGTGCACCACCCTACACTGTAAGGAAACTTGATGACTTTGATGCAGTGTACTTTGAAATTTGATCTCTTTTCAAAGAGGCACGTAAGATCATAAATGTTAAGTACTGTACACTGCAGACATTCACCTGAGATGCTTTGAGTTGGTCTCACTTTTAAATAGTTAAAAAGGGATCAAAAGCTTTAACTTAATTTTATGAAATATCTAATATCAGTTTTTCAAGATTGGGTCATCATTGACTGGAAACAAAAATAAGAAAATGGATAACTGATAAATTTAAAAGTAGATAATGAAGAGAGCAAAGTCAGAGGGTTTAGTCTTTTTATCATTTAAGAACTATAAACGTGGGTGCTGATGTCACCTGTGCTATTACCTAGCCATTATCTACCGGATGGCGGTAACATATTTTGTCACACCTGTGGATCGTGAATTGGGTATTAGAAAGTCATGGCAGGGTTTTCCTTCCATTTATCAATTATCAACAAAACACAGCTTTAATATTGTTGACCTTCAGTAACAATGATAAACCATTTTTGACTTAAGTATGTCTTGGTCTTAGTTTAGAATATCCTCTAGAGGAGAATAAAGATAGAATATTCAGCTGAGAGAGCTAACTTGTTTTAGCTTATATATAAATGCTTGGGAGAAAGAACCTACAGTAATATATAAAGATAAACATTGTAGGGACAGGGGAGAGGAAAAAATGATTAGTTTAAACTCCTTATATTTTTTTCAGATTTATTTTACTTTTAAAGTGCCTCGCATGAATTTTAAAAGTCAGTGAGACGTACTAAATTGAATTGAGTTATCTCTGTATTTGATGCGAGACAAAATCTATATTGAAAATTAAAATAAAATCTATTTTTCAAGTTATATTATTGATAAAAATTTCTATATTTGTGATGTATTGAAATTCAATCCATCTTTTCAGTTTGATGAAAGGGCAATTGTTACACTGTTGCTGGCAGGGTGTAGTGTGCGTGTATTGGGAACTAAATAAACTCGTGACAGATGGTCACTAAAAATTTGGGCATTACCTGTTAAGATTTTTATTTTTGAATTTTGATAGTTGAATTTATTGTGTATAGGGTACAAGCTGTTAGATTTTTGGGGGGACAGGTAGAAAGGTAGAAAAAGGACTTGTAATTGGAATTGGGTAACAGGTGGGGATTATGAGAGGATATGAGAGAAGTTTTCTTTTATTTGATGATAAGATATGACACCAGTCTGTTACATGGATATTCCAGCAGGCAACACATGGACATCAAATATTTATTTTCAAAATAAGATTTATCGATGATAAATTTTTGTTATTTTTTAAAAACAAATTTCCAGTGGCTTTCCATCTTTCAAAAGCTGTTACACTTTGGTGACATTATTAATGTATATTTTGATGGATGAGTATCTTCAAGTATGCATTTAATATTTGACATCTAAATAAATTTTGAATAAAGGGAAAATCTATGTAGAAATGGTTTGTTTATTTCTTTTACTGTAGAACTATAGAATGTCCGAGTACATATGGTATATGTCTAGTAACGTTATCAAACGGTGTAAGGAGTTGTCTCTCTTGCGGTATCAATTATTTGTTAATAACATTGCTATTAACGATGAATTATTGATTGAAGAGTCATCTAAATGTGTATTATTATAAAAAGTCTGTCACATTTACTGGAGATGCGCTCATTCATGCATAACTAATAGCAAACTCGAACCATAAAAACAGGAAGCTTGCTTTTTATCGAGAAATTAGTTGAAAGAATTAATATCAAGCCTTTCAGGGAGGCCGCGTGCAATTTATTCTTGTTAAAAAATGAAATGAGACATGGTATCGTGTCGTCAGCAAATTACTGAAGAAAATCATTTTCCCAGTTATCTAAGACTGATGTTTTCAAGAAACATCTGGGGATTTGAATGAGGAAAAATAGGTTGTAATTTGTAAACCCTATTCATTTCATTTTCCTCTCAATCTATGTTGATAACATCAAAACAGATGCTTAGATTTTGACGATGAAGTTCACCCTGTAATGATCAAATAAAGTGTAATAAAAAAAAGGAGACCTCAGGTTCTTTAGATGTGCATTTTTCTCAACGTTTCAGGACATTCTTGCATTTATATATTCTCCGAACATCAGACTACAGAGATATTCATTTTCAGTTCTTTAAACTGTTTGCAGATGTATAATTGCATTAATCTTGTTTTTTGAGCTAATTGGCTAAATATGAAATTAAGCAAACGGTAAAATCTGGCAGTTATACTGTAGACAATGACCGTGTATGATTACTGAATAGTTGTATATTGTCAAACATATGCATAATTGTATTGATTTTTGAATACAATGGACTTCAAAAGAAATGATAGTTACTGTATAGTATTCATTTTATATGGAACTAAAGTTTATGGGTGCAGAATTTTCATTTTTTTTTTAAAAATATAGAATTGCATTTTATAATTGCCTAAAAAAAAGCATTATTAAAATTTGAATTCCAGCAATAGTTTATACATGTACAACTTCTTAACACAAATTGAAACAATTTACATACAAAATATTGGAGAGGAAATGTTTTTATTAGGCTATGAGGTGTTCTACAGGGGATGCTTACTCCTCATAGGCACCTGATCCCACATCTGGAATTCCCAGGGATCTTGTTGTATGCCTTCTCTATATATGTATTTGTATTGTTTATACATTTTTTGAGACTTATTACTGTTATCTTCTCCTTATGAATTTTTGAAATTCTGAAACTGAGGCAGTTTATTCTCTGTTTATATACATATATATTGATATATGTTAAAAAGTTTTTACCAAATATTAATTACCTTTCATTTTGATTGTTTTCATTTCAGATGTGGAATTTATTGTGTTTTTCTTGGGATGTGATAATTTATGACAGATCCTTGAAGATTCTATGAAGGACTGGTTGAGAGGATTGATACACTAATTTTATGGTTTGTTTACTAGAATTTTATTTGTATGATTCAGAATTTTTTTTATCCTGATCAGCACTTTCTTTAATTTGCTAAAATTCTTAGTAATAAATAAATAAATGGTACAATGATGACACAATGTCTAGGAATATTAAAATGGATTTCAAAAAATCTTATTCATACGATGTATATCCCCCATATCTTGACCCTCTCCTAATCAAGGGTTTGTTTCCCTCCCCGATTGTCATAACTGTAGAGAGGTACTGTTTTCTCATCCCAAATATAGGGAAATAAATGTAAAACCAGTAATTGTGTCAGTTATTCTGCGTATGAAGTGACTCTTCTCTGGCCAGGGCAGAAACACTGATTCATGCAGAAAAAAATGGGTTGAATCATTGAGTTGCTCTGGGTTGTGGTTGGCTGGTTCCTTACAAATTATTCGTCTATTTATATACATCTACCACATTGATCCCCTAGATACATCAATGAAATAATGGGCCCACTAAATTCCAGTGGTACTGCAAACATTCTTTGAAAGTGGGTAATACTTTGAAGTGACATAAGTCAATAAAGTTTGTCACCAAAGATTAGGCTTGGAGACTAATGCGTATCTCTAATTATTACTTAGTTATAATCATTAATTAATCATAGCTTTGTGATACAGTAGTTAAAATAGGTGAAGAGCACTTGCTTCTATTTCATTTGTTTAGTGCAGTACGTGTCAATCCCTTTGATATTTTTACGAGAGAATTTAAAATAATTTTTAAAATGGAATTTAAAAGGATTGCAGAATTATTTTAAATATGTATGCTTTATTGCATCAGTGAGTTAATTGTGTTTTGGAATTGATCAGGCTGCACGTAACTTATTTATCACAAAAAGAATAATAATCCTTGATGAATCCATAAATTTGTCTGGAACGGCCTGTATTTGGTACAATACTTGACATTTGTTGTCATTTTTAAGCATGGTAATTAAGATACCCTAAAATAGGCCATGGTGTAGCGAAATAATTAATTGAAAGGCGTTTCTTTCCCAATGGTAAAAATTGAGGAAATCTGGTTTACCTTATGTTAACATCATTTATGGTCTTATTTATGCGTAATTCTAAAGAATTTATCCAAAATCAATCCCAATATGGCTTTTAAAGCCTAATTCTGCCAAGGGCTTATAAAAGGATGTGTAGTTGCAGCTTCCAGTATTCATAAATAGGCATCAGATAGATTTTGTTATGCTCAAAGATCCAAATGAAACTTTGGAAGCTATAAAGGGAGGGGCATAATTCATAAGGGTTCTATCTTATTTTTAAACCCCCAGATTGCACCCAATACACCACAATACACAAATCTAAATCATTTATTACTGGTCAAACAAATCTGTGAGAGCTGAAACATCTGCCATAGCTTTGACAAAAGAGCTAGTTCTCCAGGGGGAGGTTCAACTGTGGTTGGAGGGAGAGTGTGAACAGCTGATTTCTCCAGGGTCATGACCTTGTTGTCAGGACTACAGGGATAAGGAATTCATTTTTAGTTTTAATGCTCGTTTGCCTTTAAGTGTGTGTTTAAACAATCATATATTGTGTTAATATTTCTACAGTTTGAATTACATTACTGAAATAAATATATTCACTAAAAAAGTTTTATGGGAAGGATATGTGGGACCTCCCATCTTAATTGCAAACATCCACTTTGCCGAGGCAGCAATTCTATAATTTTCTCCACAGAATGATTACTATATCTGTATGACTGATTATATTTATAAACCTGTTAGGGTTTAGTTACTAGCTCTGTACACACACCCTAAGGTGCTGATTATATTTACCGTGATTGAGAAAAACAAGGAAATGAATTCAAAGACGCAGGTTGTCTTTGAAGGGAATTTCCTGACATCCATTATCTTGTAAATAAAGTTTTATTATGTATCTCTTACACTTGTTTAGGTTGGAATAATAATTTGATGATTTAAAGTGTTGATTTTTCAACCTTTGGAGGAAGTTTATCCATAGGTGTGGAAATCCATTACATTATGCAAGACTTCCTGTTCCTATGGAAATGAGAAAAGTAAATTGTTATGCAAGTCTTATTTGAAAAGGCGTACATAAGGCTTTGACAGTTGTTGTCAGCATTCAGTGTGTTTCAGTAACACCTTTTATGGTCAGCCACAGGGGGCATAGTAGAAAGTGAAAGTGTAGCAGATTAAGTGTAAATTTTTTTAACTACTGCTGTACTGGTACCTACATAGCCCCCCTCTGTTTTTCCCTTCCCCAATGTCCAAATTTTCATGAACCCAAGATAAAGAATCTAATTTTTACTTGGTACATGTTCCCTATTTGTAAATAAAGCCACAAAAAGATAGTTCTGTAAAATAAAAACTGAAGGGTCACCACATACCAAAGGGAGATCATTTAAACAATTGGGTTTTGTCACTGTCATTCTTTTTTCTTCTTTTTCTCTTGACTCCCTTGTCAACAAAGGTCCATGTTTTATACATCATGATATTTGTTTTGAGAAACCCATAGAAAAATCAGTATGGAGATTTTATGATTTATTTTATGAAATCATAAAAATTATAATTATCAAATGCTGTAGGTAGCTTTTATTACAAGAAAGTCTGGGTGATGTGTGCTTCTTGTGTTACATATCAATTATAATCAATTTTTACCACCCTGTTCTTAAATTTTATCTTACTAATCCTTTGGTTGTTTTGAGACCAATGCAAACACATTCCAGATAATTGATAAAAACAAACATGTATTTTCTCTATACCCAGTGGCGGATTTAAGGGGGGGCGCACCCGGCACGCGCCCCCCCTAAAATTGTCAAAGTTAGCGTAAATCAAATATGTCTACTTGGTAGACCTCATTTTCACCCTTCAAAATCTCTAGAATCCAGGAGCTTCCGGGGGCTTCGCCCCCTGGACCCCCACCAGGGCTTTGGTAGACCTCATTTTAACCCTTCAAAATCTCTAGAATCCAGGAGCTTCCGGGGGCCTCAAGGCGGCCCCCAGACCCCTTGCCTAATTTTGGCGCCCCCCCTAACTCCAAATCCTGGATCCGCGCCTGATACCAGTTGTTCAAGTCTATATGTACCCATTTATAAAATGTGTTCAAAACCCCCACAAATCTGTGTGAATTTCATGTGTTGTCATCAACAAACATGATGACAGTCATTAGTAACATCGGGTAAAATCTGACAGATTGATTTTTGGAAGGTATTTTGTCGCGGAGGCACGTGAGTAATACGTGAGGTGGCTCAGAGCTGGTAGTTAGTCCATGTGTTATTCACTGGAGCTCATCAATAATGAATGTGGGAAATAGTGCTGTGACTGTCTCGCATGTAAAAAATAGGCCAATCAGCTCTATCTAACAGATGCTATACGGCCATAGATTCAAATTTTCTACAAATGGCTTATCAATATTTAAGTAGAAACTTAAGTCATGCTTCCTGGATGGCCAAACATTATTTTATTATCAAGAGTTGTCCACCTTTGTGCAGTTTTCAATATTTATTTCTCTATGTGCGATATTCATCTTATTCATCTTAAAATTTATTTTGGCAGGTCATTGGCTCAGGCTTTCAGCATTCCTTTCTTAATTGTTTTTGTGGAGCAGGTGACACATTGACACCCCATGCAAACAGTAAGAGAACCCCCTGACTGTATCCGTACACATTAAATACCCTATGTTAATCCCCCCATGTATACATGACATTATTCCCACTTGTATGTTACAAAAATGTAGACGAGATTTGAACATATTATCCCTAGTTGTTTGCTTAGACTGTGCTTTCATCATAAACACACAAATTGAAGGATTTGTCAGACAGAAAGTAAAAACTCAAGAACTTTCTGTTGCTAGAAGGTGTTTTTATTTTAAACTCGGTGTATTTGGGACAAGGTTCATGGAATAGGCTTCACCATGTATCCACAGTGGTACAAAAAGGTTTTTTTAGAATGGGTTAATTAGTTTGTTCTCTGATATGAGAATATCTACAGGTTAATTAAAGAATTACCAAAGTTTACATCATCTGCATCATATGTGAAAAAAGAACAGGGTACATTTTGAATGACCTTGTATCTATTTATAGTTGACTTACGGGGCTAGGCCTGACCCTGGGATTAAGATTTGTCTAGTTTGTGGGTAGTGCCAGAATCCATGTATCTCACCTGAGGAGATAAGTAGGTTAATCACCAGCTGATGTGACCAAATTAACTTAGCATCCTGTTCCTCCAATCTCATTCTGTGCCAACGACTCTTTAATGGGTACTTCACAAGAAGTAAATCACACAGGAACAGTGAGGGAGAAATAAATCAAAAGTCGTCTGTATAGGAACCACATCCAAGATAGACGTAATTAATAAAAGGGGCCTTTGGATGGCCTTTTATGTGGTTCTGTGAATACACTAATATTTTTAAAATTGATGAGTTATATAGATGTAAAGCTTGTCGATATTCTTTGCCAGCACCAGCTTGACATGGCAGTACAAACCTCTACTTGTGTTTTAATCATGCTTGTGAGATGTAAACTACTTGATTAAAGCTTTAAGCAGATTGAAGGACTCAATCATATATCGAAGTCGTGTGCCTTTGGTCCTTTTTTAGATGACACAGATACACCCAGTTTCTACATATGATGTAATTAAGTACCTATAAGTACAGCGTGACCTTCACCTTCCTTTAGTATATGTTTCAAAACAAGCTGTTCACGTTTACTGAGTGTAAAATGTATCATCATCACTGGTCATCTGAAATTTCTCAGGCTCTTCACATTTTACCCTTAGTTTATTTATAATCATTTTATTTTTAAAACATTACCTCAATACCGTACTTAAATACTTATTTTTTTCTATATTATAATTAGTATTTGAGGGAAGATGATGTCAGCCGGTTACCTGTCATTATAGCCATGCTAACACCACACTCTATACGAATTGTTTAAATCCTTTCCCTTTTAATGAAAATGTATACTGCAGATTTATTCCTACAGCTTAGGCTGTTTAAAGTTAATTCTACGTTTAACGTC